ATCAAGTACCCACAGGACCACCAAATTAGTATAGATATGTTATATATTTGTAGTATGATGAGAGGGACGGGTCATTGGCATTTCGTTGGTACTATACTTCCGAAGTGTAGTGGCTTGTCCAGAATGAATGTATTTATTAGCGTGAGAGGTGATGCGTGAAAGGACGTGGCTGTCGAGGAATATCGAGTACTCCACAGGCCCGTCAAACAATTTAGATTAGGATAGGTTAGTGTGTGAGTGGAACTTGTAAATACAGTTTGAACGTATTTATTAGTGTGAAAGACAGGAGGCCGCAAGATCACGATAATCTTCCGACCTCCAATTTAGTTGTAGTATAGGTTAGTAAATTAGTATGAATGTGAATTATGAAAATGTGTAAATATTATATCTATTTATTTTAATTTATCACGTGTGGGAGGGTAACAACAAACAAGATAACGAATCCCCTATTAGGTGAATTAGGTGAATCGGAAGGCAACAGTTGTTTAGTTAAGGCATAAGAAGACTCAGAAAAAAATATACACATAACATAGATAAGAAGAAAATGCGAGAAGGTTTATATGTGAGGCGCCGGCGATGACCCAGGTAGTTAGCCGGCAAAAAAAAAAAAAAAAAAAAAAAAATCAGTGTTAGATGGCTAGTTTTGGGTAGTTTTATTGTTTTTCTTACCAATTTCGTTATGTCCCTTTTATAAGTATTTGAATGGATTGGTAATTTTGATACATTAGTAATTTTTACCCTAGTCAATGTTATAAGGCTAGTTTTGGGTCGTTTTGATTGGTGTGTTTTTCTCATTCCCGTTAAGTCCATTGATAAACTTTTCTGTAGATGTGGGTAATTTTAACAGCGAAAATTTATATGCTTGTAGGATGTAGAGGGTTTTAACTAAAGGTCACATACTGAGAGTACTCAAAGAACTAAAGGTCAGACCTGCGCTTGAACGATTGAAAAATAAAATATCGAACACTATTGGGTTTGAGGGTTAGTGAACCTGTAGTTTGGTCGTTTCGGATCATTTAGCCAGCCTATTCTCACTGATATGGCCTGTCAGAAAATTTCAAATCAGTGAAATTTCAACATACTGATTTTCAAATGGATACAACTTTTAAATGAGGTTTATTAATCAGTATTCCATCTAACAAACTTGGAAACCAGGGAATGAGCAACTCGCTCGAACATCACAGATCGTCACGGTGGGTCACTACATACAGATGAAGAATCACTGTATGATTCAGATAAAAAATAAGCATTTAGGTAGGTACCTAACATGGAAAGTCTAACTCTTCCAAGCGCCAGAGGCCATTTTTATATAAACAAATATCATCAGTTGACAGTATTCCTAGAATAGTATTGTTCTGCGAGAAACCGAACTATCCAAAATTAGTCCATAATTTGCAAAAACCAGTTGGGAAAAGGGCTTTAGAATGCACCAGTCAGGTAACGAATTATGCGGAGATAATTTGAGACAAATAATATAAATCATTATACAAATTAAAATGGAAATGGACCGACGATCACAATGACCTACTGGAACAAGCAAAACGCCCAGAGTTAATCCTTCAAAGACGCCAAAAGACAAAAACAACACAATCAAACAGGCATAATGATTATCTTTCTCGACGAATATATAAAAGGGGCCCGACTGAGCAGAAAATTACACAAACCACGAAATACCAAAACGCGTTTGACAAACGAAAACTCCAAAATTGTGAGCGTAGGATGAACAAATTGATCAGACCATTCTGTCAGACCTCGGGAAGAAATGTCGCAATATAATTGGTAGATAGAACATTTCCATTACTTTTTATTATGTTTTATATGTAAAATATTGTCTATCGGTTTAAGCCGATAAAGGGGAAGCAATACGGCGGCCAATAAAGATAAATATTCCGTTAAGCGAATTTACGTTCCCACAGTAAAAAAACTTTGGCCCGCCCAGCCTATTATGAACCTCTTCTTAATATTACCGAAAAATGGACCCGTGATCTCACCCATCATTATTTGAAACGGGTCGAGTGTCGGTTGAAACATGCATGCCGTTGTAAAAACGAATCGTGGCATCAGTTAAAGCTAATACGCGTTGAGGGAGAGCTGGCTTGTTGATAAAAAAACGCGAGAGCGGATCGTATATCGCTAAATTTACACCCTCGACATGCAATATGAAGCTGGGTGTTCACAGGAAATAGATTACCGTTTGGACAGATAAAATCTCTGCCGTAGGTCCTGCCTGTTTACAACCCATTAAACCTCTGATCCCGTTTTATTAGGAGATAGTAGAAACAATCTTCTGTTCTAAATCAACATCCCGCCTGTACCGTGTATTGAAAACGATTAACCGACAGGAAAGCCGTCCGTATTTGATTAAAAATCCGCATTAGCCGAATTTAATCAAAATCGCAGAGTCAAACGAACAGAGAAAAATGAGTTAATCGGAACGCATAAACAAGAGTACAGGTCGCAAAAGTGGTTAAACCAAGGTGGACGGAATTTACTGTTATTACTCCGGCTGGAAATGGCGGAATTGAATTCCGGTTATAAAACTAGCGATAAATCCAATGCGGGAATAGATTAGATATGAAATATGAAAATGATTAAATGTACATTCGAGTTGGGATGAACTATATTTTAGAATAATCCGTTCCTCGCCCTGATTTCATCAAACCTCTTATTGAGGAGCACTGTCAACATGCAGAAAGTAGAAAGGACATGCTATTGTGTTTGTCATTTGTCAGTATTGACAAATCAGTGCCAGTTAGTACAAACCACTCATGTGTGTCCAATCATACGAAACACTAAAGTACGTGTGTGGTGATTAGTGACCGTTAATAGATAATTATTCAGAAATCGTGAGATGCGTTCGGGTGTGATGTAGGTTTCAGAAAAACATTTTCTTTATCGTGCCAACGTTTCGATCTTTTATTGAGATCATCAGTTAGGCTTTCCATGTTAGGTACCTACCTAAATGCTTATTTTTTATCTGAATCATACAGTGATTCTTCATCTGTATGTAGTGACCCACCGTGACGATCTGTGATGTTCGAGCGAGTTGCTCATTCCCTGGTTTCCAAGTTTGTTAGATGGAATACTGATTAATAAACCTCATTTAAAAGTTGTATCCATTTGAAAATCAGTATGTTGAAATTTCACTGATTTGAAATTTTCTGACAGGCCATATCAGTGAGAATAGGCTGGCTAAATGATCCGAAACGACCAAACTACAGGTTCACTAACCCTCAAACCCAATAGTGTTCGATATTTTATTTTTCAATCGTTCAAGCGCAGGTCTGACCTTTAGTTCTTTGAGTACTCTCAGTATGTGACCTTTAGTTAAAACCCTCTACATCCTACAAGCATATAAATTTTCGCTGTTAAAATTACCCACATCTACAGAAAAGTTTATCAATGGACTTAACGGGAATGAGAAAAACACACCAATCAAAACGACCCAAAACTAGCCTTATAACATTGACTAGGGTAAAAATTACTAATGTATCAAAATTACCAATCCATTCAAATACTTATAAAAGGGACATAACGAAATTGGTAAGAAAAACAATAAAACTACCCAAAACTAGCCATCTAACACTGATTTTTTTTTTTTTTTTTTTTTTTTTGCCGGCTAACTACCTGGGTCATCGCCGGCGCCTCACATATAAACCTTCTCGCATTTTCTTCTTATCTATGTTATGTGTATATTTTTTTCTGAGTCTTCTTATGCCTCAACTAAACAACTGTTGCCTTCCGATTCACCTAATTCACCTAATAGGGGATTCGTTATCTTGTTTGTTGTTACCCTCCCACACGTGATAAATTAAAATACTTAAATNTATCGTGCCAACGTTTCGATCTTTATTGAGATCATCTTCAGGGCTCAAAGTGTTTGTCTTCTGTGTAATTGTGCCATTCTTGCGTGTCGTGGGCACTCTCAACACACACGCAAGAATGGCACAATTACACAGAAGACAAACACTTTGAGTGAGTAGAAATACTTTGATTGAATATAAAAAATATATTTTGCATTGAATACATTCACTTTTCCACATCCTAAATGTATTTGTTAAATGTAAGCAATGTTTGCAAATCCCAGGCTCTGAAGATGATCTCAATAAAGATCGAAACGTTGGCACGATAAAGAAAATGTTTTTCTGAAACCTACATCACACCAGACCGCATCTCACATTTCTGAATAATTAACACTAAAGTACACCGAATCCCCACACACCGCTAGTGTATTGGATAACCATTTGACTGCACTAAGAAAAATCCGACCGCATCTCACGATATCTGAATAACTATCAATTAACGGTCACTAATCTCTACACACTAAGAAAAATCTTTAACTCCGACAAAGGACATATATTTTTGAATTGATGTAAGAAAACTGACAGTGATTTGCTCTATTCAAAGTCCTTAAATCTATTAATATTTCAGAAATTTATTAATTAATTAATCAATCGATATTTATTTAGAAATCGTGAGATGCGGTCTGGTGTGATGTAGGTTCAGAAAAACATTTTCTTTATCATGCCAACGTTTCGATCTTTATTGAGATCATCTTCAGGGCCTGGGATTTACAAACGTTGTTTACATATTACAATTACATTTTGGATGTGGAAAAGTGAATTTATACAATGCAAAATATTTTATATATTCAATCAAAGTATTTCTACTCACTCAAAGTGTTTGTCTTCTGTGTAATTGTGTCATTATTGCGTGTCGTGTCGAGAGTGCCAGGGAGTATTTTGTGTTTATATACATTGGATTTTGAAGGGGTGGAGAAGGATGTCGGTATAGAAAAGACATTTTTGTATAAGGCGTCGGCTTTTTCTGAAACCTACATCACACCATATCGCATCTCACGATTTCTAAATAAATATCGATTAACGGTCAATAATCACCACACACTTCTACACAATAAGGACTAGGTTTAAGTATGTTAAATTTACCTTCTGTCTGATTAAAAACACATTATTAATTTTTTTAAATATTCGTATACATACCTCATTGTTGTAGGAAATGGGACCATCGCTTGACTCCCATTTATTGGCTATTCTAATTGTTTCCGCAGTCTTTTGTTGTATTGACTTAGTATCGTCCAAAAGGGTGAGCTCGTAGAATTCTTGTATGTCTGAAACAAAAAATAATAGGGTCGTTTAAGCTTCAGCGATCTTGTGTGCAATTTGTAATGAATCGGGCGAAGGTTTCGAAAATGATTAAAGTTCATTTGTAGTATTAAACTTTCCAACACATACTTCAATCGCACAATTGGTACATAATGTTTTCTAGTATACAACACAACGTGACACAGTCAAAAAAAGGTAATAACCAAATATAAGGATAACGCATCTAAGGTCGCTAACGACTTCGAGGGAGGAAAGGAGGCCGATACAAACATGACGGTTGAGGCATCAAATCCTCATTATTCAAACACCATTCTAGTAACATTTGTTTTCATGTATTGTCTCATAAACAACAGCCACGCCGTCTCGGCGATGTCATTAGCAAACCGTTTACGGTCCCTTCGTTTTCCACAAGGAAGTTCATTTCAAAACATATATTAACCCTCTCACCGTAATTGTACTGCTAAATAGCTATACATAAATAAAAACGGTATTGCTTTACAAAAACAACACGGAAAAAATAAAAATGACGTTGTTCTGTAATTAATATACTTCTTAGATTATATACCTAACTATCCATATATCCACATAAAATTAATTAATTTCCATTAAAAAATTATCGAATTGATCGATTGTGCATTCTTCCTTTTTAACCATTAATTCGGCAATATATCTGTGATACAGAAACACAAATACACATGATACATCCGAACTGAAACGTAAAACTTTATCCCGATTGATGTCCCATTTTTCCGGCGCCCGGGTGACTTGATTTCAGTATTGATTATCCCTTTAAACCCTAGATTAAATTTTTAAAGATTTTTTATATCGTCGCTTTGAAGTCGGCTAAATTTGCCAGACCGTCAGTTTTTTTTTTTTTTTGCACAAACAAAGAAGAAGAAGAAAAATATTTTATTTAAACATTCTAATGACAAACAACTTGACCGTTCAAACTTAGAACAAAACTTAAAGTAAAGTTAAAGTTAAGTTAAAAGTTAAACTATATATATGTATTAAAAAAAGTACTTTCGAAAACAAAAGTATTTTACGACGTGGAAAGATCCTTCTGTCGGAGGTTATCTGTTTATTATTTAATTCTTATTTTATTATTATGTATTATTGATAATTACTACAGCATTATCATTCCATTAATGTTTCTTAATTAGCCAGTTTTTTTCAGTTAAGTTCATTTCTTAAGTCATGCCGGTATTGCCACGATTGACGGGAAATTTTCGAACAATTTTTCAATAATTTATATTGTTCAATGAGGGTATAAAACTGTGTATTGGAATCGATGATATGCCGAAGACGAAATTCTACGAGGAAATCTGCAAAAAGTCACTCGACCGTAGAGTGAAACACTTCTTTTGCATTGGAGTTGTACATAGAGCAAGTTTCATTGAGATTTCTCTCTTTCCAAGATCGTGAGTTCAAATACAATTGTCCACATCTCAATTTAAAAACCAACGGAGTTCAGTAGGTCGGTAGCCTTCTATCGTCGTGTTAGTTGGGTCGATGATCGCCAAGGAGAGATCCATCTCTTTGTAGTATGAGTAGTGCCTTGATGCTGGCGCTTTATTCAAACTTTCTTCCCTGTGAGCCTTTCTTTCAACTTTCTTCGATAATTAGTTTTTCTCTCCCTCTCACACAAGCTCATTGTCTCTCTTTCTCTCTCGTATACAAGCTGTTACTCTCTCTCTCTCACACACACAAACTCAATCCCTCTCTTTCTCTCTCTCTCTCTCTCTCTCTCTCTCTCTCTCTCTCTCTTATAAAAGCCCAATCTCTCTCTTTCTCTCTTTCTTCATACAAGCTCTCTCTCTCTCTCTCTCATACAAGCTCAATCTCTCTTTTCTCTCTCGTATAAAAGGTCTCACTCTCTCTCACACACAAACTCAATCCCTCTCTTTCTCTCTCTCTCTCTCTCTCTCTCTATACACACACACACACACACACACACACACAAACACGACACTACGTAGTGAGTTTAAACCAATAAATGTTTTGTGCTCCCCCAGCAAAATATTAAATAAAATAATGTACACTAAGTTTATCAACTATATTGACAGTAATAATCTACTAAACAACATGCAGACAGGATATCAATATGGGAGTAGCACCAATACTGCGGTAATTAAACTCGTAGATAACACAGGACAGGCAATAGACCAGAAATAATTAACGAATCTAATGCTCTGATTTTTCAAAAGCATTCCTCTCAATAAATCATGAGCTTTTAATATCGGTACTTCAATCTCACAATCTTGATGGAAGTTTGGTACAATTTTTTGAATCGTACTACACGAGAGGTCACATCGGATTAAAAACAAAGATAGGATGTCGTCTAAGAAGATGTAAAAATGGGTATCCCACAAGGTTCCACTTTGTCCGGACTACTGTTCATTCTAGTAACCAACAGCATATGTGACTGAAAAATGCACTCTATCTTAATAGAAGAATATGGCGTTAAAACAAATAATTAGTTGCATAAACAAAACAATCTATTTATCAATGATCTAATATGTTTGAATTTGAGTTTATTTACTGACACAAATCAGGAGTTATTTACTTATGTATTCACGTATATCTTACATCCATTGTTTATACATCTATTAAGTTGGTTGTTAAAATGAAGTTTTGGTAGATTTTTTTTTTTTTGCTGTACTCCACTGAATTATAATTTTTTGTATTATTAATATTTAAATTGAACTACCAAGAGATAATATGTATTTAAATAATTAGCGGTGGTAGCAGGAAGAAAGGACATACATGTCCTATGCTGTAACATTTAATAAATAAAAGTATCAAGTATCAAGTATCTCTCTTTCTCTATCGCTCTCTCTCATACAAGCTCAATCTCTCTCTCTCTCTTTCTCCCTTTCATACAAGCTCAATCTCTCTCTCTCTCTCTCCCACTCTCTCTCTCTTACACAAGTTCCATCTCCCTTTTTCATACAAGCTCTCTCTCTCTCTCTCTCTCTCTCTCTCTCTCTCTCTCTCTCTCTCTCTCTCTCCCTCTCTCTCTCTTACACAAGTTCAATCTCCCTCTTTCATACAAGCTCTCTCTCTCAATCTCTCATACAATCTCATTCTCTCTTTTTCTCTTTGTCACACTAACTTACTCTTGAAAATTGTGGCAAAAATATTCTATAGAGTAAAATAAAAGTATTTTGAGATGAAACATTTCCTTGGGGTTTGTTTCTCTAGTGTTTTCACTTTCACTTCTTGACCTCTCTTCAAGAAGAATGAAACTCGGCTGAGTTTCAGTCAGTTTTATTTTGAAGAGAATAAAGTTAGAAACGTAGTTTAATTATATTCTTTGAGCCAAGGGACGGTCGTGCAACTTTCTGGGTGATCCCAGAAAAAAGCTCATCTTTCAAAAGGATAATGAAGTATCTCATTGCATCAGAAATCGCTGTGGCGCATAATAATTGCATACACATAATGCAGAACGTAGCTACAATTGCTTCTCTTTGTTTAATCCTACCGGACTCGTTCTCGGTGATATAATAATAAATATTTCAGCCTTCGGACCGGCATCGTGGTCCGAGATGAAATAAATAAATTAGGTCTAGCTGCCTTTGCTCTGATAAAACCGATAAATAATTGAGATAGATAATTGATGATGTTATCGCAAGTGGTGAGAGCCTGAAGAATCGATACGATTCGAAACGAATCAGTTCCCCTAAAAGGGAGAATTTGAATAATACACGTTGTTCATTTCTGGTAAATCTGATATCCAATCGTTTCATATCGCTTAGTATATTCAAAGAGAAACACTATTTATAAATTTTACAATGTCCTTTCGAAAAAAAATTTCCATTGGAAAAAAAATTGAGGGATCAACTTACAGCATTACAAACCCTACAGGGAAAAGTAACAACCTGAAATTTTATTGATCTAAAAGTTTCTATTGCGCTTCTTCCTGATGTCTTTAGAAAGAATGGGTTCGAAAATTGATATTTCTTATCCTTTCGTGAATTATGAACTGGAATGTAAACTTTTTCTTATTTAGTACTGACAGCGTTTGCCTCTGGTCAGGTTTTATTGAGCGAGCCTACTATGTATATTCAGTAAGATCTAGAGGAGAACTCGTTCTCCTGCAAGATTTATGTCTCTGCACTAGTACTCCTCAAGAATTATAGCTCCTCCAAAGATCCTACAGATCTTTATTGACACTATCAACTTTGCCAAGTTGTGACACCCTTACGAAAACGGCCACTTTCCTTTCCGTCGAGAAATCCATTCATTTTTATTTCCCAAAGTACTAAAGAGTTGCTAAGCAACTTTAGCCACGTTTTCTGAGTTTAGAAAACATGCTCGAATTAAAACTTTAAAATTAAAAACAGTAAAACAACTATTTAACAACAAATGTTTGATAAAAATAAACAAAACAAGAAGAGTAAAGTAAAGTGGAACATACAGAAGACTTCCAATGGAAGGCACTTGCAATATCTTTTTTATTTTCTTAATTGTTCTAAAAACAAAAGAGATGTCGAATTTTACCATCGTCCGAGTTTATATTGTAAACATTTTCCATATATTTATCGTTCATTAATTAAATTTTACAGTGTCTACTGCATTTTTCATGTTTTTTCAGCAAGGATATAACCTAAGTATCGTAGGAACACAAGAATCTCCTTGTTGAAAATGAAGAAAAATATTTTATGGAAGATTCTTGTTTGCCGTGTTCCAGATAATCTCACATAATCTATAATTCTTTATTTCTAAATGAGGTTTCTTAATGTTAAGAAAACTCGAATATCAAATATTTCTAAAGAAAGGCGAAAAGTGGAATGGAAGAACTTAATTTGTACTGGAAATTTGCTGCAACAGCGAGGTGAAATCATTTTTGTTCATTATTAATGTTAAATATGACGAAAAATATTAGATTAAAATTTAACAACAATAAACCAAAAATACTTTCAATAAAAGCTATGACTTATATACTATAACACTATGATGCTTGTACTATCTCCTATACTTTTGTTGTTCAGTCTGTCAGCCC